CTCATGCTTCATATGAGATCAGACGATAGCGACTGCTGTAATTATTCCAGTTGTATTTTTTGCCATTTATCTTCAGGAAATCACTGAAGGCATATATCATGTTATAACAATATTATGTGGCAATAAGATCGTAACTGTACTGTGCATTGACACCGTGGCCTTACTCATTTATGTAAACACACAAAACAATATTAACGTTATAGCAGACACTGTAAAAAGGTCAGTTCCAGCCACTAGACTTTTCAGACAGGCTATGTAAGTGTCAGAATGTTGTGGGACTGCTATACAGGAGTTATGATTATGGATTATAGATTGCAAAATTTGGCATTTTTTATTTTAGCTTTTTTTTTTTTTTAAAGCATGACGGTAGAACACGAACGCGGTTATGAATATATTAAAGCATATGCTTGTTTGTTGTAAAAATTCTTAATAATGACAAAAAAATACTAATTTGGGAATCTCCTTGTTTCTGGGTGTGACTATCTGCCGTCGTGGCTGGTGTATTCTGGGAAATTTTTTTACTTTTTGGTTTCAAGTGTGGTCCTGCAAAATCTTTGTTCAAAGGGGTATTTACCCCTTCCTCTTAGCCCTACGCCTTAAAGCTAAAGCGAATTGGGACACCCCTACCCCTTCACGGGAACGCACAAAACAAGGGGTAGAATTGGGATTGAGCCTTAAGTGTTGCTTTTGTCACACTTTATCAATTTGTGACTGGAATTCAGCTAAATTCCATTTTTACTTCATTTTCCGTGAATCTTCACTTTCACCCACCAAACTTTACAGATTTGTTCATGTCTGTATTCTAAAAGTTTTTTACTGGGGGTTATGTTCATACATAATTTACCTGATTATATGCAACATTTTTTTTTTCGTCTTTTACCACCTCTTCTAGTCAAATTGTTTTTATGCAAGAAGTCATTAGAAAATTAAGTAAAGATCATGCTCCTTTAAACATTTTGTAAATCTTTAGGTAAGCCACGTCAGACAAAATACTTTTTTTTTTTCTAAATAAATCTGTCTATTTTGAGATTTTGGACTTTTTGGCTTTTTACAGTGTTTTTTTTTTTCAGTCTTATCAAATGAAAACATAAAAAAATAAAGTTTAGGTGTTTCCCTGTTTGTTACATTCTTTTAATTTGTGACTGTATAATTAAACTATAGTGTTTTTTTTTCTTCTCCACTGAGCCATATATCTCTGCCTTCACCTACCAAGTTTTACAAATTGGGTCATATCTATATTTTAAAGTTTTTTATTGGGGCTTATGTTCATAAATAATTTTCCTTATTATAAGCAACATTTAATTTTACAAAAAAAAAGTGTTAGCACTTCTAGTCAAGATTTTTTATTTTATGCCAAAAATCATTAGAAAATTTAAGTGAAGATCATGCTATTTTAAAGAGCTATTTAATTTTAAACATTTATTACATTTCCTACTGGAAATTAATCAAAACTAATTTTTATCATTTGTAATGTGCTGCGCTTAACAGTTAATATGTACAATTATAAATATTAAACATTGGTTTATTATTATTATTATTATTATTTATATATATATATATATATATACCAGATTTTTGAATAGTATATAGTTTAAATGGTGTATCTAGATCAAATACTGTTCAATCCTAAAAAAATATGCATAAATAAAAACCTTGTTTATTCACATTTCAGATCATATGTGACCTCTTTTTCAACAATTCAAACTGGTTTTGTTGTCCATTTTCACAATTATGAGGTGACAAAAAGTGATTACTGTAAAAATGTTAACTGTAATGTCTAAAATAGTTTTGAACCAGACTTTTGTGTTTGAACCGTATGCAAATGTGCACAGATTTAATAAAATAATGCCTTATTTGCATATTTAAGCATAACAATGTTTAATGTTTGCAGTTTGTAATTAAATCAATCAAGTGGGGATGATTGATGATAACTATTAGTTATGCTTTTTATCATTTACCAGCAGTGTCTTGTCAGCCTCTAAAAAATAATCAGGTAGCAGATTTTTGCCTAAGAGCACTGATTTGGTTGTGTTTATCTTAACTGAGCTTGAACTTGCGTCTCTGTTTGCCTTGGTATCTTATTAAACTGCTTTGTTTAATGATTATTTTTACTGTCTTAACAGTTGACGGAAGGAAAGGAGCAGCGCTTGACTGTAATTAAGCTTTATTAAGTGTTTTTCAAGAACTGTATGTCTTTACATGCTTGCCATCTCAACACGAGGACAGTTTGATCCTAATTATTTGTGGTGGAGCAGAACAAACGAATTCGGCTTTTCTCTTCCGCTCGCTTTTTATCTTCTACTTGAAAAGGAAATTTAATTATGCGGACAGTGATCCAAACGTAGATTATTTTAATTCTTAATTTGCATCAACAGTGTACTTTCCCGACCGTATATATACAGAGCAGAAATACTCTTGATGACTAAGGTTTAATTCAGAGCTCAACAAATATCAGCAAAAACATGCAGCTTTTAATGAAACTTTTAGAAAGGAGGCAGCAATTTGGCTCAAATGCTCAAGCATGTATTTAAAACATTAAACTTAAATGCATGTGGGAATTCCACTCATTGCTATACTATATTAATACATTACCTATGTGCGTATATACACTCACCGGCCACTTTATTAGGTACACCGTACTAGTACAGAGTTGGACCCCTTTTTGCCTTCAGAACTGCCTTAAACCTTCGTAGCATATAAATATACACACACATACACACTTTATAAATTAGTGGTTGAACGACTTCAGATTTTAGGAAGTTGACTTATGTTATTAAATTTTATGTTATTGCTGGTGATGTCATTAATAGAACACAAGGTGCAAATGTTTTGCAACGCCACAATTTGCTATTTGTTTGATGTGTTTGTAGGAAATGCATATACACATGCTGTTTGACAGCTCATAACACATACAACTATTCAACCAATGACTAATTTTAGTGGAAACCTAATCCTGCGTTTACACCAGATGCGGAACGCGCGGATAAATCACGCTATTCGTTTGTAAATAGCCACATGAACATTTGAGTTTACTCTCTTCATTCGCACGTCAATCCCTGCTTCATTCGCGTGTCAAATCCGCTTCATTCGTGTGTCAAATTGACTTCAGAACAGACATGGATTCGCGTGATGGGCAGGGCTTCTGTCTGCCCGGTGGCTCTAGCTTCATAGCTAAATGGCTAACATGGATTTTATTGATAAAATAACAGTGTTTATGTGCTTTATGAAGACTGAAAAACAGTGTTGATACTTTTAGGGCCGTGTCTGTGTCCACTAGATTCTTTCAGAGGTGCATCCAGCTCTGTGAGCTCATAAACTCCTCCAGAAACTAAACCTGGATGATAGAGGCTTTCAGCGGTGCTTCCGACTGAGCCCAGCCCAGTTTGATTAACTTTTTGTCGCTGTTGGCTGGAGGATTTCCCCCGGTACTCCAACAACAGGTGTACGTCACAATCACGCCCCCACAAGAGCAAGCTACTGATTGGTTAATGCTGCGCGAATGTCCGCTGAAGTTCAGACTTTTGACCTCAAGCAGTTAGTGCGAAACGCGCATCAAACACGCAAAACGCTCTATTCACACCGGGCCATTTGCCATTTGGGCATAAAATGCAGTCAACTCACTGGTCTTGGCACGTACTGCTAAAATTTAACAATAACAGATATATTCAATGCGAAATTAATATATGCATCGTACACATGACAATACATCAAACACCAATTCATGGCAAGTTATTTCACATCAAGATAATGCACGAAAGACAAAAAGGTCAAAAAGCTGCTCAAATCTTGCTTAAATCACACCTTTTTCAAGGTTACTGCTCATTTGGGTTATCAGACATCTCCTCACACTGCGTGTATCTTCACCACTTTTGTGGTATGATGTTTACACATGAAATTTGCCACACCACTGTGGCTGTGTGCTTGATTTCGGTGCATTTAACGGTGATCACAAAACATGTCAACATTGGACAACAGCCAATCACTTTACCTGTGCTGCATAAATGCGATTAGCTATCATCTGCTCGAGGATATTTGCATGGTGCAATCTAATTGGCTGACATGTTTCACGTTTGTACGCTTGATGATTTAAAGTTCATGTAATCATTGAGGCTGCCATAAGAATAATAGCATTTAAATTAATTGGAATTGGAATATATATATTATAATTAATTGATTTATGTGCTGTGATATACAAAAATAGAAGGGTAAAATAAACTGTGCTTTATGGTTTTCCAGAGATTCAAACAGTATTCAGTTACAGAAATTAAATAAATAAATACATATAAAAAAACACTCCATTACCTTCATTGTATTAAAAATTCAGTAAAATTGTTATTCATTAAAGTTACAAATGTACTTTTTTTGTGCCCAAATGCTTCAAATCCACAAATCTCATGCATTCTCAATTGTCAATAAACCATAATTCCAACTCAACATTGCATATCCTGCGATGCGACTGTTTTGGGCACACACATTTCAATATCAATGCTGAAATGATACATTGTGCAGCCCTAAAATATAGCATAGGATACAAAGAAATCAACACATTTTACAGTTTCCTACACATGCCCCTTATATTCTAAGTTCAGGAGACTCAGTGAGACGGGAATAATAGAATGTTTATATCTCTTCAGGTACCTTTTCTTATATTTAATCAGAACCCTATAATGTCTACCTGAGGGAAGCAGTTTGCATTCTAAGTACAAGACATGGGATCTGCATTTATCTGCCTAATTAACTAGAGATTCTGGAGGGAAGGATACTCCCTCACCCCATCGCTTATTAATCAATCTGTTTATTTGTGTTTTACCTTAACTGATAGGTTTCCAAACCAAGCTACCATTCTATAACATAAGAAACTCTCTATTACATCTTGAATAAACAACATCAGTACCCTCTGTCCAACACCAAACACAAGTCTTCAGAAAAAGATCTTAGTACATACAGAGCTTATAATAAATCTTTCTCTGTTTGTGTGTGTTTTTGTTTATTTCACACAGCTAATGTGGCCGCAATGTACTACGGCTACTGTATGCTGCCTGATGGTACATATTGCCTTGCCCCTCCACCTCCTGGGATTGATGCCAGCCACTATTATGCTTCGCTTCCCACCGGCATGATGCCAGCTCCTCCTGCATCTGGTCCACCTCCCCCTCCTGGCACTACACCTTTGGATCCTGCTGTTGCAATCCCATCAGCCCCTGCTGTAGGTCCAGTCACGGTGTCAGCTCCTGCGTCTGCTCCACTCCCCCATTCCGCTCCTGCTCCTCCAACTTCCAGGTATACATCATTTTCCACTGTGCTAAGTGTCAACAGAGCTTGACGTTTAAAAAAAGTCATGTGTGCTTCTATTTTTTTATTGCATATTTTTGGCATGCATGATCTTGATATTAAATTCTTTGCAGCTATCCGATAAGCCTATATTTTTTTACATTTCAATTAAATTAAATTGTATTTATTTGTCCAAAGCAAAATGAGAAGCTTGTGAAATCACCAGAATAGCTACAATATCTACAGTTAGAAGTTATTAGACCTCCTGAATTATAAGCCCCCCTGTATCCCCCCTTGCTAATTTCTATTTAACAGAGAGATTTTATTCAACACATTTCTAAACATAACAGTTTTAATAACTCATTTATAATCACTGATTTATTTTATTCTTGCCATGATGACTGTACATATAATCTCAAATCAGAAAAAGTAACGCAAAAAAAAAAAAAAGGTTTCTAAATTTACTTTGACTTGTATTTGATTGCAGGCAATAAACCAAACATTATTTAATATGTTCTTGCACAATGCAACACACATTCTCTATTAGAGACAGGTCGTGACTGCAGACAGGCCAGTCAAGTACCTGTATCCTCGTCCTTGTTGCTGGTAACAGTAACAGATTATTTTCTTCTTTGAAGCACACCGTGTCCGTTTCTCCCAAGAAATACCTGAAATACTGGTTCATCATACATGTTTCCACTGTGTGACTCAGAGAAGTCAACGGCGCTTCTGGACACAGACACAGTACAGTTTTGGCACAGTACAGTTTTACAATTCTAGCATTTGTTAACGTACATATTTTAGTACTTGACAAAGGTTTGCCGAAGTCCTGAGACCATGTGGTGTTATCACTTATTAATGAATGATGATTCTTGATGCAGAGCCGCCTGATGGATCGGAGATCCCGGTTGTTCAGCATAGGCTTGCATCCTTGTCCTTTACGGTCTGAAATTTCTCCAGATTCCTTGAATCTTTTAATGATGTTATGCACTGTTGAAGGTGAAATACCCAAATGTCTTCTTCAAGGAACATTGTTTTTAAACATTTTAATACATTTCTCACATATTTGTTGACAATGTGGTAATTGTCTGCAATGAATAAAACACAAGTCAAAGTAAATTATTTGCGTTTTCCATACTGTCCCAACTTTTTCTGATTTGGGGTATAATATATTCTAGATATTTTTCAAGATACTAGTATTTAGCTTAAAGTGACAGAAAGATTTAAGTGATTTAGCCTAAAGGCTTCACTAGGTTAATTAGACAAGTTGGGCTAATTAGGAAAATCTTTGTATAATGATGTTTTTTTTCTGTAGTCAATACAAAAAAAAAATGCTTATGAGGGCTAATAATATTGACATTAAAATGGTTATAAATAAACTAAAAACTGATTTTATTCTAGCCCAAATAAAACAAATAAGGTCCCACTTTATATTACGTGTCCTTAACTACTATGTAATTGCATCAAAAATATAAATACAGTGTACTTACTGTGTTCATAATGTATTTGAGAACACTTGTGGTGCTCTTGAGTTGGGATAGGGGTTGGGTTATGAACATGTTTGGTGGTATGGGTAGGTTTAAGTATGGGTTAAGGTGTAAGGAATGGTTAACAGTGTATTTACAAATGTAATTACAGATGTAATTAAATTCAGGAATTCAATCAAGCATAAGTACACAGTAAATACATGTATTTACACAATAACAACATTGTAACAAACCCTTAATTCCTGTGTAAGTACATATTAGTTAAGGCCACTTAATATAAAGTGGGACAACTAATAAGACTTTCTCCAGAACAAAAAAAAAAAAGAAATATTTTTAAAATTGTTTGCTTTGTTAAACATCATTTGGGAAATATTTCAAAAAGAAAAAAAAATGAGGGTTAATAATTTTGACTTCAGCTGTATATGCTGTGACATCTCGGTTAGTTTAGCATTGTGTATAACTTTTTTAATGTAATAGCAAATATAAATTTAGAAAATAAAATAAAAGAACATGCTTTTGTGCAAACCTGAGTGTACTTGAGCTTGACAAACCCAATAAAAGGAGAAAAGAGAAAAACTCTTTCCTGTCCATATGCACCAGACACTTTCTTATAAACACTCCATAAACTTTCTTACAAACACTCCACCTGTAGGCGACACACTCTTCTTATCAATATGCACCAGACACTTTCTTTTAAGCACTCAATATTTCAGGGAAAAAATTATGCGATTCTGAGTGTGCTTCATGCAAGTGAGTACACTTGACAAGCCAAATAGGAAACACACTCTTTTCTCTCTGCACATGTGTATGTCTGTGTATGTATATGTGTAAGTATGCATGTATAAAACAATTGCTAAACTATCTTAGTATTTATTGCTGCTCTCTGGTGATTTGCAGTGCTTCTATATCTTGTTTTGTAAGTCGGTTCAGATAAAAATGTCTGCTAAAAGATTAAATGTAAATGTAATGCTATTGTTGGAGTCTCAAGTGTTGATAAAACAGAATTCTTTTGTTAATACCAATGTCTTAATTTACTGCTTTTTACCAGTGATACCAATACCTTTCATTTACTGCATTTTAGTGTTCGATTTTTTTTATTTATTTTTTTGTCTCCATGCACTGTTGTTTTTAACAGTTAAATTAAATCTTTATGGAATTATGATTTATTGATACCAATTAATGCTTGATTTCATGAGAGCATTAATTTAATGTTTTCATATTTTACTTAATTTTTTATTAGTAAAAAAACACTGCACCCCTTGGATAAATCAAATTTCTTATCACTCACCAGGGATAGGCTGCTTGGGAGCGATATTGTAAGGAAAAGGGATTCATAGAGCAGATACTGAATTAAGCAGTGTATCACTAATCTTTCAAAGACTCAGGGAAAATGATTTCAATTAAAGAAATCTTGCTGTTTTATGACATAACTTCATGTTATTTGTGTATTTTACTTTAATTTTCCTGTTACGATTAATTTAAAGTACACATCTCGCTATTAACTAAGACATATAGCTCAGTAAACTCTTAATTTGCTGCATATTACGAGTTATTAATGTAATTGTTGGGTTTAATTATTGGTTATAGAGTTGTAGAATAAGATCATGCAAAAATATGTACTTTTAAGTACTAATAAACAGCTAATTTGTTAATAATAGGCTGGTAGTAAGCCGCTACTTATTAGAGAGAGTTACTCTATATTAAAGTGTTACCCATTTTCCTAGTCTCAGTTTAACTGGGCAGACATTAAGACCTGGTGGAGGCTCTCTTCAGAGACTCAAGCACACATTGGAGTTACTGTTAGTAAATAACTTAATGACACATATTAAACACTGAGTCATTCAGTACTAGTGTTCACAGTTTTTAAATTGGCAATCTGAAACTGTGACTCTGGAATAAATTCACCTCAAGAACGAGCAGATTGCTAACCTGATTTTACTGCTAGCTCTCCTGCTAGACAATTAAGTCACCGAAGGCTAATAATCAACACATCATCTAATTGGCAAGGCATAATTTTCCATATTGGGTTGATGTTCACATTTTGAAGTCATTATCAGCAAATTGTTGCAATAATATCGTTTTTTTTCCCCCTACCATCAGTTCCAGGCCTCCTCAAACCACTGTTGTTCCCCCGCCGGTTGTGGCCACTGCTGCTCCTGTTGCTGCCATCATCCCTCCGCCTCCCGACATTCAACCTGTCATTGATAAACTAGCCGAGTATGTGGCCAGAAATGGGGTGAAATTCGAGACCAGTGTTCGTGCCAAGAATGACCCGCGGTAAGGAAGTTACTCTGCTGCACTTTACAGCCTTCTTTCAGATACTAGTCTCACTGCTCCTATTAGATCACTGTAATATGTAATAACTATAAAGAGCTCTCTCTCTATGTATGTGTGTGTCTTCTACACCCTAAAGGTTTGACTTTCTGCAGTCCTGGCACCAGTACAACTCCTATTATGAGTTCAAAAAACACTACTTCATGCAGAAAGAAGGCCTGAGCGGGCAGGAGGTAGCGTAATGCTGTTTTCTCTTTTTTCTTCCTTTCCTCTTTTGCACGCTAGTTTTTATAGCAATTTGAATGGAAGGATGAGATTATGGCATGTTTTATACATGCTCAACATTATTTAGAAGGTTTATATATTTGTTTTTCTATAAAGGGTTATTGCATGCAAGTGTCACCGTTTAACACATTTCTTTGAGAATTCTACATTATACTGGTACATGTGTACAAAGCAAAGATTTGTGCTGAACAAATGTATAATATATTCTCATTTTTTGTAATTTTTTTAAAAAGCCCAAACTTTAAATTATCTACACAAAAAAAAATTAAATGACAAAAGGTTAAGGCATCAGTTATTTTTGAGTTTCTCTAAGTTAATCAGGTTTATTTATTTATTTTTTAAGTTATACAAAGTTTATCTATTTTTTGTCATTTTGATATAAGTTCAAATAAAAAAGACTTAGGCAGAAATATATTTTACAGTACATAAGGAATGTCTAAATGGACTCTTTTAATAAATGGCTAACATCCAGAAAATGGCTAATTTACTGAGAAAAGCATCACAGCTACTTTACTACTGCATACAACTAGATGTTTTAAAAATAGTTTCCATAAAACACTGTCATTTACAAACAGTTAAGGGGGGAGTAATGTGCGTATATTGCTTGGCGACCATCAACCATTTTCTGAGAGGATGAACATTGATGCAACTCTGATACAAGTTTTATTTATGGAAAAAATTAAAAAGCACCACAGTCTTTGTGTGTTCTATGTTTGTCTGAGATAAATAGTCTATTGAAATGTGTATATTACATACAAAGTATAAAGCTGATTCATTTGTTTTTAATCACATGACTGTGCACTTGTGGCCCCCTGAAAATTTTAGGTGGTTTCAAGTGGGTGCGCCACTTGCGTGCTTCGCTTCCAATATGCATGCAAAAGCCGAAGGCCTCCTTTGTATATAACAAACTTGGGTGCAGGCGAGATGTGGTATGTAAACGGCCCCATCATTTGTGATCTCCAGCAGTTGTGATCTTCAGCGATTCTGGATCCATTTCTTGTCAGTGTGTGGGTCTTTCACCTGGCCTTTTTTCATTCGCAAAAAATCTTTCCAAACACGTCTGTTTCTTACTCAGTTTGCTAACTTGTGGGTTAAATTTTGTCACTCAAGTGACTGAAACGTTACCGAGAGAATAAGCTTGTTTTTTTTTTAAATAAATGATTGCTCAGACTCAGATAATAATTAAAATGGAAATATTTCATGATTTCGGTACCAGTTGATCTACGGACTGCTACCAGTCTGCAGCCCAGGGGTTGAGAACCACTGCTTGACACCATGCCATTTTACAAAAGTATGTTGTCATATGCTCCGAGCAAACATATACTTCATAGTTTTTTTTAATTTTTATTATTGCTTATTTAAAAAGATTAATACATTTATTTATCTGTAATGCTAATTTTTTTATGAACAGCTAACATCATTTAATGAGAAAAAGCATCAAAGCGTCCTTTCTTTTGAATGCAAGTACATTTTTAAAAAACAGCATTCCTAAAACACTGTAATTGAAAGTTATTTGTGAACTCTCACAAATAACCTTTGTAAAACATTGTGTAAAACATTACACCTTGTTTGGTGTAATGGTGTAAAGGTGTAAAACATTACACCTTGTTTTAAATGAATCTTTTCCCAATGGGCTGGACTTATGGTGCAGTAAAGTAAATGTATTCGCCACTGTTAATTTCTTGTTTGTTTGTGTGAAGTCATCGGTCACACACAATCCAAACAAGCTTATTTGGAGCTTTTAAATAAGGAGGGCATTTGAAGTTATGAAACTTGCAAGATGTTTTAATGGTTCAAAGACCTCTTTAATGTCAAATGATCAAGGAACGTTTTATTTCTCACATCATGACCCCTTTAAATTGCATTTACAGCAGGGACAGACCCTCGTCCCATGTGATCAGCCTCTCAGTATGCACAGTTCCCAGTCTTTTTGATACTGACAAACTGTTTTGCATGTGTATGGGATGCTAATAGCACAATATGGCATATTCAGCGTCTCATTACCTACTCATTTGGTTTCAGAAATTGATGTTTACCAACTTAAATAGCCATGTTTCATAACCTTCAAGGTTATGTTCATACTTGGTGGCTCTTCTCCAAGGCTGCTTCTGCAGATTCTGAATCACTGATTCACCTCTGTGTATTTCTTTTCATTAATTTCATGCAGTTTCAGTGCCAGAGCCTTGATTTGACACTGCTGCTTGTCTTACATCAGTAAGAATATTCAAAAACATTCATATTCAGAATGCAATATATTGATTTTGAAAGAAAAGTGACATGGTTTTATCATCTGTTCAAGATGTTAATTTATGTGAATGATGGTTTCTTGGCTAATGGTGGGGTTAAGCAATTGTAGTATAGATGTAAAGCCCAAAATAAAAAAAAATTCAAGGAAAAAACTGCTTAATGTAGACAAATTATAAGTCAGTGTGGTAGGCAGATTAGTGCCTTATAGTCCTCTAGTAATGTAGAAATAGTGCAATACAATACAACAATGCAATTCAGGATAATGGTGATTCAATAATGCAATTCAAGACAATGGCAAGTGTGTAATATAAGGGCAATTAGAAGAGTAGAGGTTTTGTGCAGTCAATACAGAAGCAGTTTACTTTGTTCTTTGCTCTGTACTGTAGAAGGAGATTCAGCTGCTGTTTTTGGAAGCAGATATATATATATATTATAGGATACTTATAATTTGTTCTTTTATAGATATCTATTTAGTTTGACTAAATATGTAGGAATTTTTTATAGTTGATTATTATTGTGAATGAACGATTAGTTTGTATCTTACATATAAGATAGCAAAATACTTTCCAAAAAGTATTCTACAGATATAAAAATAAATGTAAAGTACATAGATTGTCACATTTTTTTGATACGTTGTTATTAATTTGAACATGCATTAGACATTACATAAAACAGTAGATCATGAATATTTAGCTAAAAGTTTTGGAAAAGTCCTGGATTTTAATAGTAAAATGTGTATGAACCCTGTTAACACTGGTTAAAACCAATTTGGTATACTTTATAAACAGTTAAAAGCTTTTGAAAAGCTGTGAGTTTTTAGCTTTGTTAAATTCTAATTCCTATGAAAACATGGTTTAGGCACAGCAATTAAAAACACTGCCGCCCCTTAACTTTAATCTGGAAAGTTCACTCTAAACGAAGAATTCTGTCATAATCTAAAGTGTAGTCTGCAATTCATATACGCTCACCGGCCACTTTATTAGGTACACCCTACTGGACCCCATTTCACCCTCAGAACTTCCTTAATCCTTCGTGGCGTAGATCCAGAAGATACTGGAAATATTCCTTATAGTTTTGTGTCCATATTGACAATTCTTGTGCGTTCAGAGACGCTCTTTTGCACACCTCGGTTATAACGATTTATTATTTTAATTACTGTTGCTTTTCTATCAACTCGAACCAGTCTGGCAATTCTCCTCTGACCTCTGGCATCAATAAGGCATTTGTGCCCACAGAAGTGCTGCTCACTGGATATTTTCTCTTTTTCAGACCATTCTCTGTAATCCCTACAAATGGTTGTGCATGAAAATCCTAGTATATCAGCAGCAGTTTATGAAATACTCAGATCACCCGTCGCAGATCAGACCATACCACATTCCAAGTCACTTAAATCATCCTTCTTCCCCATTCTGATGATCAGTTTGAACTGCAACATGTCATCTTAATCATGTCTACATCCCTAAATGCAGTGAGTTGCTGCCATGTAATTGGCTGATTACACCTGTCCATGAGCAGTTGGACAGGTGTACCTAATAAAGTGGCTGTGAGTGCGTATTTCCGGAATTTGCAGTCAGTTATTTGAATAAATTGTTAGCGTTTTAATCTAGTTTGTCTGAATATACCTCATTCTGCATTAGATGTGGTGTAATTATTAATCATTGTGACAGGAAATAAGTTTAATAAACTTTTTCATTTCAAACTAACATTTTAAATCCATGTTTGATTCATCTTTAAAATGGAAATGGGTAATTATTGTCTCACCTATTCCTGTATTTAATAAATGTTTAGTTTGTTGCCTATTTTAACAGTAACATTAATTAATGCGTTACATATTTGATGTTAAACAACGTTTAAAATAACTACATGCATAGCTAGTTGGACTAGTTTAGGGCATGATTGTTTGTTGACCAATTGCAAATCCAATTTTTCGCAAATCCATTTGGCGTGGAAAATACACTCTCAAGCTTTATCATCCCTTTGTGTCTTCAGGCTAATCCAAGATGATTAGCGACTCGTCTCAGTCTGTGGAACAGCAAATGACGCCAGTCTTGACCGGAGACTGCCAGCAAATGACATCTTGATATATTTACCAGTCAATTAGTTCTAGGGACTTGAAAACATGTCAAGAAGGAGCCAAATAATTAGGACTCATTAATTCCTGTCCTAATTTCTTTTTAAAGCCTAAATTGTATTATTATTGACTTTATTTGTTGTGCGTTCTGCCTCTAATACTGTGTGTGTGTGTGTGTGTGTGTGTGTGTGTGTGTGTGTGTGTGTGTGTGTGTGTGTGTGTGTGTGTGTGTGTGTGTGTGTGTGTGTGTGTGTGTGTGTGTGTGTGTGTGTGTGTGTGTGTGTGTGTGTGTGTGTGTGAGATGCTGTAAATCCATTATGCTAAGACTAGTTGCTTCTAGTTGCTTTGCCTGTCATTAGCGATAATTAACTCGCTGGTCATTCTTAATGCATTGAGAGGCAAGATGGACTGAATTGTGCAGCTGCGCATTATTGAATATAAGGAACGTTCCAGTGAATTGAATTAGAATAAGAGGGTTTTTATGGATACATCTGCCTGTAAGTGCTCAGAGTGGCCCTTTCTGTATTTCTCCCACGCATCGGAATGGATAGTACAATTTTTTTGCAGGCAGATGATAGACTGTCAGATTTCTCATGTCATCTGAATGGCAGAACACGCGGGCTTGCTTAA